TGGCTCAGTGGATAGAGCGTCGGCCTGCGGACTGAAGGGTCCCAGGTTCGATTCCGGTCAAGGGCATATACCTGGGGATGCGGGCACATCCCCAGTGGAGATGTGCAGGAGGCAGCTGGTCGATGTTTCTCTCTCATCGATGTTTCTAACTCTCTATCTCTCTCCTTTCCTCTCTGTAAAAAATCAATAAAATATATTTTAAAAAAATAGCATTTATAATATTAAAATTCATATTGTCCATATGGTTTTGTGATCAAGTTACTAAAATGTTTTGTCACTGTGAATCATTTGGGTTAGTACAAATATGACAGGATTGTTAAAGGCTGCCTATAAATACATAACACTAAGGCTGATTTTTAAAGTGTGGAAAAGGATTATATTAAAATAAGTTAATCTCTCATGTAGGAAATGAGCAAATTTTGTAAAATAAAACTGAAAACTTCTTGGTCACAACTGTTAACTACCAGCCTGAGACATATTTTATTCTTTTATACTTGTCTGAAACTTTTTGTATCACAAAAAATTAACAACTAATCTGAAGAAGATTTATAAAGCTGTAAATATTCCAATATAGCCTCTTCTATGTCAAACATTTAAAATGTCCAGAAGGGAACTATATATTAAACAGAACATAAATAAGACCTTAAATAAATAAATGAAGAAAAGACTGTCTTTAAAAACATAGTATCACATCACAATTATACTATGTAATTTATTTAGCTGTTTTCCTGGTGGTGAGCAGGTCAATTGTGTCTACTTTTTTGCTATACTAAATAACTCCCTTCTTCATGGACAATAGTCCACACTTAATTCTACCCTCTTCGAAGCACTTCATATATTTATCCTCATTTAATCCTCACAAGGGGATAAATGTACTTTTCATGTCCCTAGTTTATAGATGAGAGAGGTAAAGCAATTTGCACAAGTAATTTAATAGGAAATGATAGAGCCAACCAAATCTTTGTCGGCTTTGGGAAAACTAGGTCAAAAATATATAGACACGAAGGAGATAGTAAAATATATATATTATATATTGTATGTATATGATATGTATATTATGTAAATATATGTATAATTGTTTTAGAAAAAGGTCTGGCTCTCCCTTTATTCCCACAAAGAGTCTAAACTTCAGATGGGAAATGCGTTTATAGCCTAGTCAGCAAATATCGACTGGTGGCTGTTTTCTCAAGGGTTTTGGTATAAGAGCGACTGATTGGCTGGAAGGCATCTCTGAGGATCAGCTTCTCCAGCACCTTAATACAGAGAGTCTGAGACCACTATGAAGTGTAGTTCTGGGTCCCAGAGCTGTGCTGCTTCATTTTTTAGTGAACTGCATTTTATAATGTTGCTGGGTGGGCTCTGCTTTATTTCTGGAACCAGTGGGTTTGATGGAGTCAAGCATCTTCCCTGCACCAGCACCCCCTCCTTAAGTAGCTTCATTGTTTGGCAAATGCAGTGAGTATCAGAGGGTCCATGCAGATCCATTGGAAGGAATAAAACTTGCAGATCTTTGGGTAAAATGAACACTAAAGCTCTTTCTATTCCTACGTCTTCTGAGTCCTTTGGTAGCTTGATTCATAGTTTCCTTGGGTTGTTTGGTTACTCCCCCTTCATAAAACACTCCAGGCCTTTAGGACAGAGGGGACTTATTCCGTTTTACAAAAAATGATTTCTCTGAGAATCCTGCCCCATACCATGTGGTCTAAGACAGACTATGGTATGCCTGTAACCATAAACTCCTACCTCTCCATACCTAACAGCTGCTTGACGCAAAGGAAAAGAATCCTGTTTGTGAAGCAAGTCCATTGCTATGGAAAAAACCAGGGTTGGGGGAGGCACCTCATGCTTCCATAAGGCTAGCACGAGAGCAGGTAAAGAATTGTGAGGGTATGGACTGCTCAGGGCACATTCTGAGACTCGGAGCAGTGGTGTGGAGAGGTGTGGAGAGTCAGGGTGTATAAATGGGGAGCTCCCTGAGGTGGCAGTCCAAAGGGCCCGTCTATGGGTAAGTGGAGGGCCGGGGGAGAGAGAGAAGGCTCCTGGGACAGTCCCTGGTTTCCCTTATTATTTGGCCCAGGATAGAGACTATTTGTCTATAGCTACAGAACAAAACAGAACGGAATAGAGACTTTGATCCAACGGGAGGATTTCACAATCATTCCCTTTTTTTTTTTTTTCTTTCTTGCTGTTTGCTTTTACATAATAACAAATCTGTTTATGTCTGTAAAGGATTAGCCTCGGACCCTGCTTCTGGAGCAAAACTCAAACAAGGATTTACTAAATCTTCTAAAAAAGATTAACTCCTAGAGGCCAGGTAAGAAAAACAAACACACTCTAATCCAGGTGCTGGTGGTCATCTAATGTGCAAGGTACAGGGAATGAATGAGCCTTTAAGGGAAGAACCCTCTAGCAGGCAAACCCAAGAGAAATACGGGCTAGGCTAGGTTAATGAAATATGCTCTGGAACAGCGGTTCTCAACCTCTGGGTCGGGACCCCTTTGGGGGTTGAACGACCCTTTCACAGGGATCGCCTAAGACCATCGGAAAACACATATATAATTACATATTGTTTACAGTAGCAAAATTACAGTTATGAAGTAGCAACGAAAATAATTTTATGGTTGGAGGTCACCACAACATGAGGAACTGTATTAAAGGGTCGCGGCATTAGGAAGGTTGAGAACCACTGCTCTAGAAACTTTTTTGTTAAACCCTGAGTTGGAAAATGACACTCCATTTGCTTGTGGACTTAACAGGAAAGGGGAATGGGTTCTTTATTTTGACCTGGAAGGCTACTGCCCGGTCCCTCTTTCTAAACACATTGCCCCCCTAAAACACAGTTCCTGAGATTGACACGGAGTAGAATTGGTATGAAGTTGGGGACATTTTTTATCTTGTGAATTGTTTAAGACATTTAAACATGTAGAGAAGTTTATATTAAGTATTTAACATTCTCAGTGTGACAACAACCAAGTTCTAGTAAATCCTTTTCTTTCTGCTTTCAGACTGGCTCCCTACAGCTCATCAGCCTGGATGGCTGTGAGCCCAACAATGCCACCTGAAAGGAAGGAGCAGATGTCTGCTTCAGTGCCTGATTCCTCTCGAGACATCATGCAGGACATGTAAAACTAGCTTCAAATGTTCTTATTTCCTCCCTTCAAAATATTCAAAACCAAATCATTAAACAAGGCGTTCATCTGTACGATAATGCTTGATTTGGAGATTCACTTGAAGCATTTTTTTTAATGGGATATTTAATAGTCTTTTTCAAAAACGTTGCTTTGATATTAGAAATGTTTAGTAAAACAGTCTATGGAGTCTAGCATTACTTACTTACTAGGAAAAGCGTTTTTTACCCAGCTCATTCTACACAATAGTCGTGAAATCCCCTCTGTGATATTTTCTTCTGATAAGCATGAAATTATAAAAAGTAACAACTCCTGCTTTAAGTGTCCGTCTGTATACCACGTAGAACTGTCTCCAACACCAGTGCACACAGCTGGTTTTGGGGAAACACCGCAGTGGAACAGGTTACAATAACCTTCCCACCCAGTGGGAAGGATGCTCTATGCAGCCTCAAACCATTTATTTATCTCGGACAAATCAGGCACCAACTTTTCATCTCACCATTGGTTGATAAACTGTGGGGAGGTGGTCTTGCAACTCTTTTTCTTTGTCGCCTTAGGGGTTAACAAATTCTTTTTGTAGAGTCATTTATACTTAATTCATGCTTCTTAGTCTAATGATTTTTATGTTTTCTTCAACGCAGGGAATTGTAATTAGGAATTAAAAGCCATTTTCCCGTCTAAATTTAAGTAGAACCCCAAACTACTCCCTCTTGTAATGCAGCAAACACATCTGAAACGCGTTGGGTATGTATTTGGGGATCACATCCTAAGTTTTATGCTCAGGGAAGTCAGATGTATGTCCTGGAACTGACTGAAGACTACTCGGCCATGAGTCTGGGGAGCGTGTAGCCCAGGTAAGCCACTCCTCTCTCTCCTTTTTCTGGGAGATTGCTTTCCTCACAGAGATAAGAGGGGCTATGGGAGCTGACTCAGACATCCCAGAACGTGCATTCCCACTGATGAGGTAACCTCATCTCCGCCCCCAGATTAAGCTGTAGTTTAAGAATCTACCAAGTTGGATCCACAGCGACAGCCCCACCCCAGGCAGTTTCCTGAAATGCCTTGGCCCTTTGCTGTCATGGGCCCCACTGGTAAGGGCTAGGAGCCAAGGTTTCTCCCATTTGGTTGCCAGGCTTCTTTGATGGGCAAAGGAACTCGAGACGTCCCTTTCTCTGCCAACCCCACCCCCACCCCTTATTTAGAGGTAAAACAAACACAAATAAGCGTGTCAGATTTCCGAGTGGGGAATACTTTGTGAAGGAATCCCACTAAGGAATAAATTTCTAGTTCATGCTAGAAAGTAACGGCAAATGCCACTGTAAAACTGGCCCAGTAGACTGAACTTCAGTAGCTAGTATTCTGACCTATACCAGTATATCAGAAATAAGTTCTAAATATAGAAGGATCCAGAATTTTATATAGTAATTTTTAGAAATAAGTTTTTAGTGTTGTGAATTTAAGTGAAGCACACAAGCTTCTACCTTAAATCATAATTTTACTCAAAGTTGGTTTCTAGTAGATGCTAAATAGAGGTCAGACTACTAGTTTCTGTGGGGAAAGTAATGGCCAGGAGGGGGCATGAGGGAGCCAGCTACTGAGCTGTTCATGTTTTGTGCCTAGATCAGGATGGTTAGGCGGTGTAGCTGTAAGTAAAAATCAAACAAGCCATCGTCAGAATTTGCAGAGTTTATTATATGTAAGATATATTTTCATATAGAAAGCCTCTAAAGACAACAGACAAAGGAGTTTTAAAAAAAGATTAGGTTTCATATTCTTAAAACTCATTAGATACAAATTTGAGATTACAGTTACAGTTACATTGAAAAATGTTATTCTTTCTGAGTAAAACTAATATTGAATTACATGATAAAATTTAAAATGCATTTATTTATTGGTGATTAAAATATACTTAAGCAGAGTAGTACTTTAAGCCAGACAAAGCAAAGAAAAAAAATCTTGTTTAATATATATATATTTTAAATTCCAGTAATATTTCTTAAATTCCTGTTAAAATATAATCAATATTAAAGTCAGCAAAATACTATTTTTGACTGACACTTGGATTATTTTATCACTTAACCTGGTTACACAGTGATTTTTTTTTTCTGTCAGATGTAACTGACAACCAGTTTAGTCTTTAAGATAAATGAAGTGATAACTCACATTGTAGCATCTTGTGGAAAATATTCAAACTACATTTAAAATGCTTGTTTAAAATGGAAACATCTATTATTCCACAAGAAATTGTTTCTGGAAAACTACAGGTTGGCTATGCAATAGTAACTACACTACATCCAACTAAAGGTAGAAGAATCCTGGAGAAAAAAAATACAAAGTCTACTTATAATATGCAATATAAAGGTTACTTTTATAAAGGTATACTTAAAAAGAAAAAAAAATCTCCCATTTTGGAGAAATCCAAACCTTCCCATAGTTCCCTCCTTAGGCTGTGCTACATAAAGATGACAAACTCAGGTGATGTTATTTAGCTAACATCGTTATGATCATGGCTTACGATTAAACTCAATTTGACAACTATATATAGCAGCCCTCGTCTGGATGTCGGTTATGACAATAGATAGTTGCAGTTCCATTAAAGAATACTTGGTGATTACATTTGGTACAAAGCATGAACAAATCATCAACACTCAGGACAGATTGGCACGATGCATGCAGTTCTAGAACTCTTATCTCAAGCCAGTCGTAACTGAGTAAGCCATATCCCCAATCCCGCTTTCCAAATCTTTCCTTGTATTACAACTGACATTTAAAATGCTTCATAAAACTTTAAAATGCTCCTTAAAACCGTAAAATGCTCCTTAAAACCTCTTCCAGAATAAGAGAAGTATGCTTTATAAGCCACTTATCTGAATGCATGGTGGAAATGAGGCAGGATGGCAGTGCCGGTGCCTGCTGGGAAAACATGGGGGAGGGGAGGCAGGTGGAGCTGGCCCAGGCTCATGGCACTCATGGCCAGTGGGGGCTCTTGCTGCTGCTGCCCCAGACAGCTGAGCCTATGGGGGAGAGGCTCCCCTGGCCCCAGGGTGAGGGTGCCATTCCCAAAGGCATTTTGGGTAGGAGGAGGGGGCAGCTGCCAGAAGCCCAACAGGGGGGAAATTTCCAGAGAGGCAGGTATTGTGATGTTCACAGCATCTATGGGGAGCTCTCTGGGCAGGTTTACTTTACCAGGGCTACTCTTAGCCAGATCAAAACCTGGGTTGAGCCTGTGAGGTGACTGAGGCTCTTGCAGAGGCAATTCCTCGAGCAAATTGAAGTTGCAAAACCCTTTAGTATCTGTTTTGAGCGGCAGGTTTGCAAGTGGGGGGTATGAGGTAGCAGTGGTGTACTTGTGGTTCTGGAGGGGCTGAGGGGGAGAGCTGGGAGGTGCCATGGGCGGCAGGGGGATCAGGGGCTCTGGCAGCGGTGGTACCGGCTGGCAGGGTGGCTCTATGGGATTGAGGGTGTGCACCTCAGGTGGCAAGCCACTGGCGAGCCCATTCTGCACAGAGGCTCCTAGAGCGTAAGGAGCCAGAGTGGCAGCCTTCAGCTGAAACTGAGGAGAGAGAGAGTGGAAGGCATTCAGGAAATCTCCAGCCTGCAGACTCTCTTTCATCAGCTCCTGTAAGTGTGTCTTCTTGGTATGGCGTGTGAGGTGGTCTTTGCGCCCAAATCTCTGGGCACAAAACTGGCACAGGAAGTCCTTACAGCCTGTGTGGACCACCATGTGGCGCCGCACATCTTTCCGGGTGTAGAATAATCTCTCGCAGTGGTCGCACCGGTGCTTCTTCTGCTTGTTTCCGTGGGGCTTGTCGTCGGCGTGGGATTTGAGGTGGATCAGCAGCACCTCTGTGCTCCTGAGCACCAGGGCACACACCCCACAGGTGAGGTCGCCGCTGTTGGCCTTGTGGAGGGCCAGGTGCCTCTTGTAGCCCAGCATGGTGTGGTACTTCTTCCCACACTGCTCACACACAAAGGACACCTTGTTGGGGTCATGGGTTTGGAGGTGGTTCTTCAGGTGGTCTTTGCGGTTGAACGTCTTCTCACATTGAGCACACTGGTGAGACTTCTGGGGTGAGTGGGTAGCCATGTGTCTAGGAGCAGAAGGCAGAATTTCACAATTGACCCAGATTTTTAAGAGCCGAAGAAAGGTAGAGAAACAATATTAAAATGGTAACAGTAGTTTTCTCCAGGTGGTGGTTTAAGAAATCGTTTTCAGTTTTAAAGTCCTTTTCTATATTTTCCAGACTCTACACATAAATAAGACTTAATAATAAAAAAAACAGGTGCTGCTAAGGACAGAATGCAATTTTCACACCTGTAAGGAATATGATTGGAGTACATATTTTCCTAGTGTATACAAAGAGATTGCTAAATGCAGACAGGTATTTAAAAATATATGATCATGAAAACTATTTTTCAGGACTGGGTTAAATGGTTGTTCTATACACTGAACATTCCTGAATTTCCAAAAGTGACTCAATAGCCCCCCCAGTCCCCATTTTAGATGATTGTTTCTAATACAATTCCAGCTCATCTGTATTGATTGAGACAAGTTCAGGACATAAACTAAAAAGTCTATCCTTAACCTCAGAGACAGCATCTAACTGTACCCTGTAGCCAGAATGCCAGCCCTAGCAACTGGGCTCTGAACCCCGCTCCTCCCAATCGATCTTCATGCTTACATCTTCGTCTTCTCCATTTAATACTTTCCTACCAGCTACCCCCCCCCCCACTCCCCCGCCCTGCTGTGTGCGGCCCCTGTCTCCACTTCCTCAAGGTCCTGGGTAAAGCCCTTCAACCAAGTTCCTGAAGGTCACTGGTGATTTCACTGGCAACATTCATTCACAAGGGCTTTCTCTAGAAGATCATGGTGCTACTCCTAGCAGCAGTTACAAGTGTTTCTTTAACTGAGCTTCAGGGGAAGCCACAGTCATCCTGGTCAACCTGAAATTTCAAAACAGCTAGTTTATATTTGTATTTCTAAAGCACAAGTTAGGTTTGGAAAACCACAATTCCATTTCTATCATAGTTCCACTGAATTCCTAAAATCAGAAAAGTTAATGCTATAAGGCAGTGGTTCTCAACCTTCTGGCCCTTTAAATACAGTTCCTCATGTTGTGACCCAATCATAAAATTATTTTCGTTGCTACTTCATAACTGTAATGTTGCTACTGTTATGAATCGTAATGTAAATATCTGATATGCAGGATGGTCTTAGGCGACCCCTGTGAAAGGGTCGTTCGACCACCAAAGGGGTGGCGACCCACAGGTTGAGAACCACTGCTATAAGGGAACCCTGAGTTTGTCATCTTTAAAAAGGTTCATTTTAATAACTGTGTCATACAAAACAGCAAGTCCTGTATGTTAGTATTTCTTACAAGACAGCACCGTGAACAGCTGGTGGCTGCAAACACAGCCCAGGCTGCTTCAGCTCCCTTTGACAGTTAACTCTCAGGTGTTTTGTCTTCAGGAGCTAAATCTTATCCTACTGACAATTTCAATGAAATTGAGCTGGTTGATTTTGGAATTTCTAACAACTCATTCTATGAAAAAAGATAGAATTTCTTTAAAAAAAACACAACACAGTGTAAGTCAGAAGTGTACCCAACCTTCTACCCTACATTGTCCACTCCTGACCCTTCCGTGGGAGGAGAACCTGTAAGGGGTCTACAGTAGCTTTTGAGAAACCGGTGGTGGTCCCTACTGGCAGGAAGACTGGAAGCCAGTTCAAAATCCTAAAGCTGATCAGAATCTAATTGTCATTTTTTTAAATATAAAAAAGCAAAAACCTCAAGTCCTCTTCCCGTCTCCCTTAAGAACAGTAGCCTGCTCTGTGCAGGGGCTAGAAAGAAAAGTTGCACCTTCCCTCCAGGACATAAGGGCTCAGCAAACAAAGGGATACAGGTAACAAAGGCAGGTATGAACAGTGCTGATGACAGGAGCCAGTGCAACAGGGGGGTGAGAGTCCTGAAATGATGCTGATGTCTGCAATTTCCAGATGTATTTAAAAACATTTGCAGGTTGCAGAAAGGGTTTTTTGAGTCTGTTACCTCTAGAAAATAGCCACGTCCTTATACAAGATATCCACAGATATAGCAGCAGACATAGAAGGGAGAGGGGACTGGCTGACAAACTTGGCACTGAAGCAATTTTCTATTCGGTCCAAAACTAGTGACTTGGACCCCAAGGCTCTGTCCTGGATCTTCCATTCTTGCACCTCTCCGCTTTTTTTCTGTCTGATTAGGTTTCATGTATCAGCCAGGGATAACTGCTCTGGGTTCACATCAAGCCATGTAAAGGCATATGACACCACTGTTCCCATTTCACCAGCTTCTGTTCCCCTGAATTTCTCACTCTCTCCTCTGCCTGGCATCCTGTCTTCCCCTTTTAAAGTATCCCTCGCTTACTCATGCAACAGACTCAGCCCAGGACATAATCATCTTATGGCTGAAATTACTTTAACAACTTGCTTCCTTCCCTCAACCTCTCTTCGTACCTCACAACCCATGAAACCATACTTGTCTGTCCCCTAGTCAGAGCGCCACGGTGGGGTGGCACCTGGGCCACGTCAGCAGCCTTAGGACTCCTCAGGGAATGCTGCTCTAACGGGTTTCCCCTGCCTCGCGATCACCTCTCTGTGGCTCTCTCCCTCTCACTGCTTTCAGTGTTTGCTGTATTGGGACCCATGCCCTCTTTTCTGGTGAAGCAAGTCAGTCATTTTCTCCCTCAACCTCTGCTTATAAAATGGAGCGTATGTTGTAACCGAGGGTAAATTGCCATTAAAAGAGAGAAAGAGAGAGAGAGAGGGTGGAGGGAGGGAGGGAGAGAGAGAGAGAGAGAGAGAGAGAGAGAGAGAGAGAGACAGACAAGCGCGCGCAAAAGCAAACGCTAAGGTACTCTGCTGTCCACCACGTCTCTGTTCTTTTCTCAGCCGTTACTCAGGCCGGAGGCAAGGCGTGGGGTGGCTGTGGCGGTGGCTGGCAGGCGGTTCTTGCACAAAGGACACGGCTTCCCTTCTCCCCCTCCCCTCACCCGGCACCGAACAAGCGGCTGCCCTTGTTCAGAACGACCACCTCCTAAATGTGGCCAAGACATCCCTTCAGCGCAGTTGACCACAGTCATCCCACCTAGTTCCTGTCATTCCCATAAGCTGTGAGCGCCGCTGTCCCCACGGTGACAGTGCCCTCCTGGTGGCTAGCTGAGCAGGCGCTGCTTTTGCGCTCAAGCGGGGATCCTGACTGTGGACACACGAGAAGCCTGTTGCAAAACAGGAAGCCTTTGCCACAAAATAGGTGCACACAGTAAGGCACTCAGTACTCACATGTACGGCAACTAGATAGTGGCCTAGGTACTGAGCACATTTGAATTTTTTAAAACTTAAGCATTTATAACCTCATTTTAAAAATCAGCTTATTATATTACATGATCTATAACAGCTGTATTCTTAAGGGCCAGGAACATCACTCATATCTTTTTTTTTAACTCTTCCAAGATTTACTAATAATGTGGTCCTTGTTTATACCACCCAGATGTAAATCCTCTCTTGCTAAATTCTGACCATCACCTATGTACTCAAATGCAAGTAGTCTGAAAGTTGAAGCTTTCAAGTTTGTTTCATGAAGATTAACGGCACATGTATGTCCCTTAACCAGGTATCAGAAGAAGCATGCGTCTGTGTGCATACTACCTGCATTGCTCTGAGGGAGCTGTGCGCACAGCAGTCACTGTTAACCAGACTGCCATGTATATTCTGTCTTCTCTATGATATAAGAATCCTTCGGAGGCAGACGCTACATCTCCGATATCCAATTTCCTTCTGGAAGTCCCTAAGAAATAACTTAGACTAAATGTACTTTTTTTTATGGCATCTGCTGAAACAGTGGTTTCTATCCTTTGCGATATCATGGGTACCTTTGAAAATCTGATTAGTGCACACACTCACCATCTGTATACCCCACACATTTCCAGAGCTTAGGGTGGCTTTTAGACCCGAGTGGAGAAACTTCTCCAAAACCTTACACTCGGAGGTGTTCCCTCCTCTGCACCCTCACTGTCCGGACCTGGACAAGCCCTCCATATGCCACACCTGGACTATTACAACAGATTTCAAATCCGTCTACTTGCCTCTTTTCTATTCTCCAAATGGCTACCAGAGCCATCATTCCAGTGTCCTAACCAAATCATGCTCTTCACCGCTTAGACTCATTAGAATAAAGCAAATCCTCTCCAACAATGGACAGGCCTGCTGGCAGCTGCTTCCTTGCCTCCATTGCGAGCCTCACCCTTTCCTCCTCCAATCCCACCCTCTGGGGAGGTTCTGGGAGCTTTAAGGCCAAGGCTCAGGGCTTTCCCAGAACCTCCTCACTGTCCACCTCCTGTTTGTTCTTCAGGCCACAGGTGAGGATTGCACCTTCCTGAGAAGCCTTCCAGCTCGCCCCAGGAGGGGAGAACATCTTCCACCTGCACAGCTGTCAGAGCGCTCAGGCTGCATTTTAATTCAAGGAGTCTGTGTGCACGACACTCTTCCCAGCCCCAGTCGACTAATCTTTCTGTTCTCAGATGGGGCCTATTACTGGAGGAGCACAAGACACACTTGTTGAAAGAATGACAGGGCACAGCAAAACTGTCACATGAAACTCCAGTCACACCAGAGACACGGCTTCAAGGCTGAAGTGCGCCACATTCTGCGTCCCTTTCCCGTGCAGTGTTGGTCTGAGGACTGGCAAAGCCATGTAAAGGCATAAGTAAAAGCACATACCTTGTCTAAAGCCTCTCACCTCATTAGTTTATATCTGGAAACAAAAGCTTTGCCACACTCTGGGTGCAAGCACTTGAAAGGCCGCTCCTTGGAGTGAGTGAAACTGTGGATAGTGAACTTCTCCAGGGTGAGGAACGTCTGGCCACAGACCTGGCAAAGGTAGGCAGCCATGGGTTTTGCTTCTCACACCTTCCTTTTCAGATGCGCTGACCAAATGCTGTACCAGTGAAGCACAAAAGAAAGGTTGGTCCTGAGCCCATGAGCAGAGCACACCCCCCCCCCCTCCCCGAACTCCAGGCCAGGACAAAGGCGGCGTCCTGGGCTTGGTTCTACTCAGACCTGGGTCTCGGGAGCCACTAATTCTGCTTCCTGCTGTCCCACAGCCTAGCGTGTGTGCAGTCTCAGGCTCAGAGGAGAGAGTCTGGGCACAGATGAGTTTCCACGAGTAGAAAGGTAATCTGCAGACTGTCTGTGGAGAGAAGAGAAACCGTTTTCTTGCATTAGCTATTGGAAAACAATGCTTCCCCACTCCCCCCCAACCCCACCAGTTCAGAATCAACTACTGATGCAGCACGATGCCCTATCCTCCCAGGGCCTTTAAGAGATGCTTCTCTAGAGTGGCGAGGAGTCGAGCACAGTGTTTTGCTGGTGGGTGAAGCACTTTCCTTTGTGAGGGAGATGGCTCTTTCTATAGACTCGGTATTATCTACAGTGGGGCCTTGACTTACAAGTTTAATTCGTTCCGAGACTGAGCTCGTTAAGGAGCTCGTTAACTCAAATTACTCTATCAACTCAATGCAAAAAATCGGCAGAGAGACAGCTGGTATCTCAAAAAACTCGTTAGTCGGGACACTCGTAAGTCAAGGCCCCACTGTACTTCCAACCATGATTTCTGGTCAGTGTGAGGCTCAGCTGACCAATTGAAAAAAATGGTGTTGGAGTGTTTTACTGGTACAGAAACAAGGTCATCCCTGCTTATTCAAACTGTGGGCTCTGTTCCTCTCCCCTCACTGTCAGCATAGCATATGTTGTTGATCACACCTGTTTAAACTTCTAGGGGATGAGACGAAATCATTTGTATGCATCCACGTTCATTTGCTTATAAGGTTACCGTGCAAAAGGACTCGACTCTTGGATGGAAACAAGATGTGAATACAGCGAGTTCAAGTCACTGGTGAGCCTCTGGAGCGGGGATACATTGTTTCCAGGAAACAACACTGAGGATGGTTTGGGGGAAAGCTTGGGCTGCACTGAAATGTGTAGACACCATCCTCTTGTAAGCTGTTTCTACTAGTCTCTCCCCCTTTTGTTTACGGGGGCCTTTCCTTATTCCCCAGCCTCACCCGTTGGTCAGCCACTTCCAGGAGAACCCAAATGATTACCACCCTTCCAACCCAAGCAAAGCACCAAAACCAGGCTCTTTTTTTCCTACCAACTGGTCATCATCTGAGGAGCCCAAGAGCCTGAGACAGTGCCACAAACAACATAGTACAACTCTGGCTACCCAGAGTCCTGGAGAGTAACTCTGGGGAGGGGTGGGCAGGGGGGGAGCAGAGGGGAGACGCTAACCCCTCAAGTGCCAATTAGAGAGCTATATGCTGGCATTAAACACCAGAGGAACTTTTGTACACAGGCCTGCACTTTCTGTACTTTGTCAAGTAAGCAGAGCACTCATGGCCAATTGACCAATCACTGCAGGTCTTCTAGGAGTCTGTGTCCTGCAGCCATTCATTTATTGCCAAGTCTTTAGAGTTGCTCTGTATTATAGAAAGTTCATCTTTACCTTTTCAGTTACTTTCAGATCGGAAAGCTAGAGTCTAGCTAGATGAAACTTTATTGTAACAGTTCGAGCTTCTTTAACTAGATCAGCCCACAGCACATGTTCACAGGCAAAACATACGTTCCTTTTCTAGTGGCCAAAATCGCGGCAAACTCCTGTGTTCCTCATCCACTAGCTCAGATGTTTAGTGTCTGGACCGAGTTCACAGGAGCCGGCACCCGGCTGACACCCTCCCACCCCGCCACACCTGCTGGGAACCCTCAGGACTGACACGCACACTCTGAATCAGAGCTTCGGCACTGAGCCAAAGCCGGCATCTTGGCACCAAATCTTTCTGAGGGCAGCTCGCACACACCTTGCTCCTCTGCGACTCAGTGTGGTGACTTGCACTGAACCCCTGTCCAAATCCATCTCCCCAACTCCCTGTTCCCTCACAGTAACCCAGTTCATGCCCGAGGCCCTGCTTTGAGGCGTCCCCAACAACCCTGGCCACAAAGTAATTCCTTCCAGGAATCCTACCCTGTGTGGCCGAGTTCTTGCTGCCAGGTCTCATGATGCGTCTACTTTTCCAGCCTAAGTCTGGCTCACACTGGCCCAGCTATAAAAGGCAGAGAGCTGAAATATGCTCAACTCATTCACTCGAAACTGCTCTGGGTTCTTCCCAAGTCTGTCAAAAAGATTAAAATGTGCACACAATATGAAGTGTGAAGTTCATCTTAGCTGAACCCAAAGTAGCACTAGTCACCCAGAAGGAGCTGGTTTGGGGTGAGGATTTCATAATTCTCTCGCCTACCAATCCCCTGCATATACACACTTTCTTCAGCTTCTCCCCAACTCTAGCTTTATGAAAGATGCCCAGCATGTCCAATAGAACTCTCTGTGATGATGGGAAAGTCACATATATGATGACTACTGAACACTCAAAATGTGACACTGAGAAACGGAAATGTTTCGTTAAGGAGCCACGTGTGGCTGACGGCCGATGGACTGGGCAGCACAGGCTGGCTCTTAGCTTCACCGTCAAAGAGATGACCCTCCGGTGTTCCCCTGAAGCAAAAGAGGAGTTCATGTAGATCTAGTTACGTATTTTACAAAAACAGCAGGGAGATTCCCCATTCAGATTCCAGCTAAGCCACTTGTTAGCTGTGTCCTGAGTTTCAGGCCCCTCATTTGTGATAGCCCCCTGATGCATGGGCTGCTGGGAACAGCCAACTAAAACAAGATGGCTCTGCAAGCACGCTGTGGTCTAAGAACACACTGTACAAATCTATGGGATCTGTGAAGAAACCATCAGCTGGCGCATGGTTCTAACCACCCAGCAATGGATATAATGGGAAAAAACCATGTTCTCTCCCTACGTATAATTCACCATCCATTATTCCTACTTGGGGGGCTGGTAGTCTAAATAACACATATGTCTACGCATATAGAAAGGACATATGAGGGTGCAAGTAAAAATTAGCCTGCATTCTTTTGTTTCGCAAAAGATAGCAAGGTTGACTGACTGCTTACCAACATATCAAGAATACAAATGAAAATTTTTTCTTCAATTAAAAATAAAAAGGTGTCTGCCCTTTGGCATTAATCAAGTTTTCCCAGATCCAATCTCCAGCCACTTCCCTAGATTCAGAAGTCCAACAGTCATGGACATCATTACCTGCATTTCTCTTGGGCCTTCAAAGATGGTAAGCACATAATCAGGGAGTTTCAGACATGGCCACATTTTATTTAAAAGTGAGGCACATTTCCTCCAACTCTCTCCCCCACTGAACTTCCTCCCCAAGAACTAAAAAACGTTAAGCCAGTTAAACGTTTTTATCCTTATTTAACTTATTTCATTCCCAAGACGTTTATCTTTCTGAGTTTTAGATCTGTGTGTTAAATACACCTAGCCCCGCGCTAAGTGAAAAGTTAGTCCTCAGATGTTGAACTGGATTAATTATATGATAGTAAACATTCTTTAATTTCTTCAGGAAATTATTTTTTGAGTTTGAATTCAAATTCACAAATAGTTATTTCATTCACTGTAGCTGTGTATTTCATTAAATATGGACCTTCAAATATAAATATTTGCACGGTTTTCATGATATAATCACAAACGTCTATAAAAATAATCTTTCCCAACAGACTATAAATTCACTGTGGCCAAGGATCAAAGCTCAGCTATTTTTAAAAAATAAACCGTGAAGATAACACAACATATCCCATCACCACATACTTGACCAGAGCTCTCTGGCTGTTGCTGATTCCAGTCTTTGGTTGAAACCTGATGCGCTTTATGGTCACATCCTTAAAACAGACTTGTGAGTATCTTTCTATTACCTGGCAAACGTCCAACAATCCTGACAGAGAACGACAAAGGGAGGGTCTTGACCATAATTAGTCTGTTCCGAGACTCAATGCACAGATTGCCTGTGAGTCTTCAGTATGGTAATATTTCAACACCTGTCACCATAGAAAGATAGTAAGTCTTCCTCCAAAACATCTCAGGACATAATTTCCAACCCCTTGATTCTAAAAATATGGAGTGATACAGATCTGCCAGTATGCCAAAGAAGGCTTGTGCCATCTGCTTCATTCTGTTCATGCTGATTATTTTAGGGATGAGAGAGGATCAGATTGGAATAAGAACATATATATATATGGCAATAGCAAGGAAGGCCTGTGTTCCCTGAGGGCTCATGGTATACGGCAGAGGGAGAGGTCAGAGCATAACTGTAGCTCCGGGGCGTCCCCAGTCATCCAATGGGGGACAAATGTTTTACAACAACCTCAAAATAAACCGTGACTTCTGGCTTCTATTCCCATTGTCCCCACTGACACAATGCAAGGCCTGTTTCTGAGAGGAAACTGAATTGCCATTTTTAGTCTTCCAACTTGAATAGTCTAAGCTTTTTTTTTTTTTTTTTTACGCCATTCACCAACCATTCCTTGTAGATAAGAAAGTTCTACTCTAAATGTTTCTCTCTTTCATACTCCCCAAACTAGGATTGTTTTATATCAATGTGTTCAGGCCAATTTAAAAAAGGGCCTCTAATAAGCTTCTGTTTTTTCTTAAACAAGAAGCATTGACTTAGATGGAAAAAGAGACCATCCCTCTTTGTGCTATCAATTCAGTCTGACTCTTCACAAAGTCACTGATACTATTTCCTAAACCATGGGACACATATTTTGTGCCTCAATCACTGCATTTTATTAGGTTAATAATAAAGATTCTTTCCTGGCCAGGCTGGTTAGGCAAGTTGAGAGGCAGCCGATCAATGTTCCTCTCTCACATCGATGTTTCTCTCTCTCTCTCTCTCTCTCTCTCTCTCTCTCTCTCTCTCCCTTTCTCTCTCTAGAATCAATAATAGCATGTCCTCAGGTGAGGTTTTAAAAAAAAGTTTCTATAATAATATTCTTTTGAAATTCAAGCAGTAAACCAGTTGTACAAATGTCCTATCAAACATGGATAGAAGTGATAATCTAACAGATCTTATCATGTAAGATAGGTCCACCTTCCCTCAAAATCATAGGGTTCATTTGTCAGCATCTTTAAAAATATTTTTTATATATTATTCTCCAATAAAGAACTAAGACATTATCATTAAAATCCACTAACACCTGAGCTGACACATCATTTGGAAGAAGGCTCTTGCCTGGGATGAGCCCTTAAGCTGGATCCATAAGGCCTATGGCCCTGCTGTCTGCAGACCTCTCTCCCACAGTGGCCCAAAGGCAACCAAGGCCGAAGATCAACCCACTTGCTATTTCCTCAATGTGCCCCATTCTCTCATGCTTCTCTGCTTTCCACGCTTTGCCCCATCCAGGAATGCCCTGCCACTCCTTGTCCACCTGGCAAACTCTTCCTCTTCCTGGTCACGCCCCAGCAGAGGAATGAGCTCCTTTTCCACGTGGTGAGAGAGTGAAACTGGGAGATCACTGAGGAAGTGACAGTAATCATCCAGGTGAGACGCCAGTGGTTGTGGTGAACATAAAATGAGATCACTAAAACCACAGAGAAATTAGAAAGAGAAAAATGGGTTTGGCAAGCCCTGCCTTCACCAAAGGCCTTTCTATGTTCCCTCCAGAATTATTTATTCAGCCACCTGGGGGACACTGACCCTCCTACCCTTGAAACAACATGCCCTCATTTGTGCTTGTTGGTGGGAACACCTACCGACTCCACCCCTCTATTTTGCCCTGGGGAACACTACCCCACACTTTACCACCTGCGTCCCTCCACAGCCTGCAACCTTGAGCGACTTAATTTGGTTAACTAACCCAGGGCTACGCTCTTATTTTCTTAGAAATGAGGCCTAAAATAAGCAAGAGCTGAAATGAATTATTTATCTACTATTCAGAGAGAAAATTAATAAGGAAGCTGTCTTGTTGATTACAGCACAGCTTCGGAACATCAGATGTATGCATTAAACTTGGAAAACTGAAAAAGCACAGAGTACCTTCCACTTACAAGCAGTGTGAGTAACATCTGAGAGTCAAGATGGCCAACAGAATAAAAGTATGCAGCTGAGCAGGTCATGGAAAGCCATGAAGCAACCTGACTTACCCTCAGAAGCCATCATAAGTCTCGGAAATGTGGGCACTAGGTACCTCTGGAAGTGGGGGTGAAAGTGGGCATGAAAGTAGAGTGAAAGGCATGAAAGTCTGGTAGTGAAGCCTCAGCCCCAAGGGAGGGCACGGGATGGGGGTGCAAGGCTGCAACGGAATGATTAAGTGGAGTTTGTATACCTCCCCCATTTGGCTAACAGGACACTGGCAACCAGGACCTCGCCCTCCATGGCAGGAGCCTGAAGGAGTCTTCTCTGGGGAAGCCCAAGAGGAAAGAGCTAACATCAAGGACAGGTGACAGTCCCAGGGTTTACATACATCACCTAAAGTAAAGCCCTCATTGACAAGCCCTGTCTAAACATACAAAGCTTCCATGGCTTTTAGTGGTTCCACTCTCAAAATCAGTAGGCAACAGAGGATCACCAGAAAGCAGAAGAAAAAGTGACACAAAACAAATACAAAAAAGCAGGCTGGAGAGAGAGGGAAAGACCCATCACAAAGGGACAGTGATATATGGCTCCATCCCACTAGGAGAAGGTAGGCTTTTTGTTGTAATATGTTAGTAGATGAATAGCCTATTTAGTCAAGGCTAGCCACTAACTCTGAATTTATGTGGAGGTAGAGTGAGACAGGTGGGGAGAGAAGAGAGAGAAGAGAATGCCAACAAAACACTCTCTCAATGGGAATGAGAAGCAACGGGAAAGGCCTAAGCTCAGAACTCTAAGCCTCAAAGAACCAGAAGACAGAGGAGCCAAATCACAAGGGGCAAGGATGAGCCAATACTGACGACCAGGGGGCCGGGCAACAGGAATCCATTCCAAGCAACAGACGTGTCAGATTCTACTTTTTAACAGTAACTACAGCAGGGCTGTGTAAGATATACTGGAGTGGTGGGACCAGGGGTAGGGAAACCACTTTGGCTTCTGCCACCTCTCAGAAGAGATAACCGTGGCCCAAAAAGGAAGAGAGAGCAAGTTGAAAGGACACTTTGTAAACAGAATAGTTAGATAGGACTTGGGTTAGGCTAGCGAAAAGAGGTGACAGGATTGTCAGACAAGGAAAGGAAGGATGAGCACCAGAAGAAAAATCCAGCAAAGCACTGGAGTTCCAAGTTCAGTTTCTGATATGTTGAGCTTAATGGTGCCTATGATCCAGGCCAACAAGGAGACCTACAGCAGGAAGGAGGAGCTGAGATGCTCTTCTGGCCAAATAGAGCAAATGACACTCTGACCCTCTCTGGATTCTGGGGAGCAGGACCATTGTGAATCTTGTTTCTATAAGTAACTTTTTACATTACTGAGCTCTCCATGGGTGGCCTCAGACCCTGTGAGTAAGCTCACATGATCAACCCAGAGTGGTTTGGTAAAGTGGGTTGTCCTGGGGGTGAGGAGGGGTTTGTTTTCTTTGTGGCAGGCTGCAGCTAGACCGATCCACCCTGAGGATATCTGCTCTGCACTGTGGAGCAGGGTGGAAGTAGGCTTGTGGGGACATGTTATTCTCAGAGACTCCAAGGACAGAGGACTTCTGCCTCCAAATTCCCCAGTTCCTCTTGGGTAGGACGGTGTAGTGACAAGTCAATGGTGATAAAAATAAGCAAAATGAGAATTAAGTTTGCATTAAAAAAATGTAATAAGATGTTCCAACATCATTTCTAACTGGCGATAGTATACAACAAGACCCTAGAAGCTCAAAATCCCTGTTTGGTTGCCCACTCTTCTGAAGGTCGGCTTTTTACAGGTGGGAGCCTTTCTTTGTTATAAGATGTTGAGCGGATTGAAAATAATGCCTAACCTATTTAATAGTCAAGGTGAGGACGGTGGGAAGGACAGAGGTAGAAGCAGGCAGACAATGCCAACAGAACTATCTCAGCTGGAATGAAGGAAGCCCTAAGAAGAAATGGAAGAGGCAGAAGCCCAGGAAATGAGCCTCAAAGAGCCCCAGCAGACGAAGAGAAGCCCCACTACCAAGGCGAAAGGATGCCTGAGTCAGGACCTTCACCGCAAGCGTGCTTTCCTGGAAGAGGTCTGTAAGCACGCAGCCTTCCCTCCCGCAGGGGGTGAGGCAGGCGGTCTGCACAGGGTCTGCACAGCTGGGCGTCCCCGGACAGGCCGAGTGCTTCCACAGGATGGGTCGTTCAGTTCAACATAATCCACCCAGCAGGAAGGAGGGAAGCATGTTTACGGATTTTTTTTTTTTTCAAATTATCAGAAAGTTTATTTAGAAAGTTACAAAGGTAGAAGTGAGCTGTAGAAGAAATGGGCTCCAGAAACACGTTACAGCAAAAGAAGGGCCCTTGGAGCTTAGGCGAGTCCACGCAAAAAGAATATCTGAGCAGGCGTGCTTGGGGAGGGGGCGGGGAGAGAGAGCAGGAGCCTTTGTACAGATTCTTAAATCTTCCACAGGCCTCCTCTCCCCACCACATGCAATGTATTTTTCAATATAAACATTTAGGAAGGAATATCAAATGTCTACAAACAAGCAAGCTAGGTGTGTGTGCTGCCCGAGCAGCGCGTGTGGAGCCTGGGACTGGTGCTGCTGAAATGGAGCGGGCCCTGCTGTAAGACCATAAATGAACTCTGGGTAGCACGGTGGGGGTGAGGGACAGAGAGCCTTCCCCAAACCCAGACAAGAGCCTTGGGAATTAGGAGAAGATTTTCTAGTCATTAAAGTCAGTGATGGGGACTATTCCTTTGTGACAGCTGAAAATAACCCCCCTCCGCCCCCAACAAGCCCTCAGCCACCGGCCTCCAGGCCCTTTTAGGGGAGGCTTCTATAGCTGACAGCCCTGCTCTCTCTTCCTGGGACTTTCAGAGCAGGGCACTGAGGAACCAAAACTACCTAATTAGCGGCAGGGCTATTGTCCAAATACGGTTAGCATTCTGGGGGAAAGAAAAGCCTGGGTCCTTCCCAGGAAGTGTGTGAGGGTAAAGGCGCAACTGAGAAAAGAAACAAGAAAAGCAGACTAGTTACATCGGTGACGGGAAGCCAGATTCATGAGTCAAACATCCCTCGAAGGAAACTTGAAAGCTATGAGATCTGGGAAGGGTGCTCACGAGGGGTGGACTGTTTGATCCTAAAGCAACAGTGCCTCTAAACCAGCGGTTTTCAACCTGTGGGTCGCGACCCTTTGGGGGTCAAACGACCCTTTCACAGGGGTCGCCTAAGACCATCGGAAAACACATATATAATTACATATTGTTTTTGTGATTAATCACTATGCTTTAATTATGTTCAATTTGTAATAATGAAATTGGGGGTCACCACAACATCAGGAACTGTATTAAAGGGTCGAGGCATTAGGAAGGTTGAGAACCACTGCGAAACCAATAAAAAGGCATGAAAGAGTCGAGAAAACTGTGGTCAGCAAAGTATCTCTGGGGGTGGAGTTAGAGATACCTTCTCTTTGTTTTTCCTTTTTGACTATCTGTACTTTCTAAATTTTAAAACCAGTACTTAGGCTCATTAGGAGTTTACCAGGTGGACAAAAGAGGCATGCATTTCGGGCAGACAGTAGAACATAAAAAAACAGAGACACAAAGCAGCACAGGGCAGCAGGGATCCCGGAGTTCAGTCTGGCTGGACGGCAGGTGTGAGTGTGAAGGGGAGGCTGGAGAAGGGGCTGTGCCCGAACACAAAGGGGCCGCACACCAGGAGAGGAATCTGGGGTTACTCTATTGGGAACTGGGAGCAGGGAAAGTGATGACGGTTCATCAACAGATTGCTTTACAGAGAAAACAGCTCCTCCCCCTCCTTACCCCAGGGCACAGCCCAGTGAAAAGTACTGTTCTGAAACTCTAAATGGTCTTTTTTGACAAGATGAGCCTGAGACCAAATCTGATTACCCAAATGGACACAAATGCAATTGGCAATTTTAAATGACAACTTAACACTATGGTTTCTCAAGCTTATTCAATGGATGAGCATCCAGAACTCACTTTCCTATCAACTCTGTGCAGAGTAAGAAGGAAGAGTGGAGTTGCTGCCCCGCAGGCTCCAGCCTCCTGCGGAAGCCCACAGGCTTGTTCCTTAGACACAAAGCTGCACTGAGAGTTTTCTCTTTGCCTTCCCATGTCACGTCCGTACGTTCAAATGATGCAAAGCAAACTGTTCATCCAGAAATAATTCCAAATATGAAAAGGTTTACATTTAGGATATAAATGTAAATATTTATCCTTTAGGATGACCCCCGTTTTTCATTTTTTCTTTTAAAGATGGTAAACATTTCACCAGGTTTCCATCTTCAAAGGAAATGACACTAGAGGGACAAGTTCCTGCTCTGGCTGCTCTGAAAGGGGAGAGGAATGCCCAGGAAATGGGGGAGAAAGCTTAAAATGCGGGACACTGGCGCGCGGGCCTCCTCTCCTTTTCACCTTACGTCTTTTCTCTCCCCCATTCACAGCTCTGGGTCCTTTGTTTGTTTAACAAACCATTACAATTATACCCAGTTCAATGGGAGGAATGCGTACTCTCTGAGTAGCTGTCTCCCAATCCACATGTGTGGTCCATCCCACAGCCCATAGCAGGCGGCTTCAATGTGCCGTTCTGTGCTCCAGTCGCCCTGGAGGCCGGGCACCCTGCTCACAATAAGCCCCAATTTCCCGTGGCTGCATGCTTGCTGCTCCTTCCCAGTAGCCTATAGAGATGCTTCAAGTTGGGCTTCCTTTCCTGCTCCCCGAGCGACTGCACGGTCCGTCCTGCCTGAGCTTGTCCCACTCTGCGCCTGTGTCTCCTGCCCAGTGTGTTAGCTGCCCCTTACCTGTCCTCAGCCCACAGACCCACCACCAACTACTGGGCAGACACACTCCAGGATCCTACTGGTCATCATGCCCAGTCTTCTAATGTCAATCACACGGGAATAGAAGATACAAAGGCAAGATTCCCTGAGCCCCGCCTCATTAGAACTGCTAGTGCCTTTCTTGGCTGCTAGTAGATATACTGGCATGTTGGAATGGATTTCAATTTCTTGGCCAATAAATCAAAATATTATTTAGTAAGAACATTATATTTCAAAGGAAACCTAAATAATATTTAGTGAAAGAATAATTCAGTTGAGCTCATAATGCCCTCTCATGCTATTTTGTCTAGTAATTTCCATCAGCCAGCCCTGTGAGAGAGGCAGAAAGTCCCTTTCATCCCCATCTAACAGATGAGAAAACTGAGGTTCAGAGACTGAAGTTCTTTACCCACAGGCACCGATGATTATGATTCTGGAGTCCTAGCGCTACTGGGATGCGGCCAGCATCTTCCTCCGGCTTATCCGTCAACATCTTCCACAAAGGGGAGGGCAACCTTTACACATCCCCTTATGTGCACAAGTTAGGATGTAGACGGGGCAGCCCTAAAGCTTCGGAACCGACAGGGTTACCAGCAGAAATGCCATGGATCTGCAGGTGCTACGGGGAGTGTGTGTGTGTGTGTGTGTGTGTGTGTGTAGGGGAGGAGGGGCAGACAACAGAGGGTGTGGGTGTGAAAAGTTGCTAATTGCATCCTCTGATTCCCTGAAATACAGAGTGTACGAAAAGAAAAGGTCAAAAATTCTGTCCTAAGATTACTTTTGTGATTTGAAAGGGAAATGTCTTTTTATTCTCTACTAAAACCCCTTGAACCTCCCGCATGTCCTTGACTAATTTTACTATGTGTTTCCAAGCGGTTATCAATAGACATGCCCACACAGAAATAATGTTTAAAAGCGACGGTCACTTGCATACCTGCTGGGTGTCAGCGTTCAGGCAGTCGTGAGGTCCTCTCAGAAGTGTGTGAGGAGTCACACCTGTGAGGAGAGATCTCGCAGGTCGTCAGTGAAGGAAGCTGGGGAAACATTCCCCCACCCCCACACCAAGGGAGCCTCCCTCCGAGAGCCCACACCACACACGCAACTGATGACATGCAGAGGACATGTTCTACTGCTTTTTAACATTTTCCATGCATTTTAACAAAGGATCCATCAATTTTAAACTTTAAAACCCTCAAGGCCTCAATTGATCTACCACCCTTAACTTTAAAATATCTCAGAAATACCACATGGCAAAAGCCTTAAAACATGTGTGTCATCTGATATATTTAAACAGTGTCATAGAGTTCACAATGTTGCAACTTAGAAGATTTTCAGTATTTCATATAATCTTGCCCAAGAAGACCTTTAAGTATTTCCATTATATCCTTTGTCCTACTTACAACTGGATTAAAAAAAACCTGAAATCTTCCCCTGCTTTCTGCAAGTAGAAGAAAAAACAAAAAACTCATGCAACTGCTTACATAAAAATATTCAAAATAGCACTGAGAGGAAATGGTATTTTTTTTTAAATCAACGGTATTAGAATACCATAAAACAGGCATGCAAATCTATGCAATAACAAAACCTGAAACAAATGACGAACTGGAAAAAGTCAGTAATAATTAGTAGGCATTCATATCTAACAAAAGCTTTATATAAACGTCTAGATTTATCAAATGGGCTGAAGGCTCCTAACTGAATAGACAATTTGGTGGTCAGCAAACCTGGCTATGTGTTAGAATGCCGGGGAAATCTTTGGCACAGGCTGGCACAGCGTCACTAGGGCCCTGGGATTCACGTTTTTACCAAGTCTTCAGGGCCCAGGCTGCAGCCGGCTTTGTACTACTGATCCCTGATGAGCATCTAAAAACCGGTATCTCTGTTCACCAATTAATTATAAAGCTTGGCTTCTTCCAACTAAGACTATTCCAACCCGTTGATCCTCTTAGGTGAAAAGCTTTTCAGGATTTTCTTGCCCAGTACAAAGGTAAATATATTATGAAACAAAGCCAATTAGAGATCACCTAACTGATTTTTTCACTTGGTTGCCTCTTAATTTGATTTTTAAAAAAAAGCTGTTTATTTTGCATGAAAACATCCTTTTTAGTTAAAATCAGAAAAATGCAGGCCATTGTAGACAACTAAATCTTTAAAATAACCTGTCACAAGTCAGGAAAAAAGCGGAGGTGAGTAGGTTGTCTGAATCATCCAGAGAATTTGTTTTAAGTGTATTCCTCACTTTGCATGTATAAACACTTCACAAATCATCTTCATGGTCCGTCTCTCCTCTGAAAATACTCAACATTTATCATGGTCTCCAAAGGCCTGGATTACATTTTTTTAAAGGGCTTTAGAAAACCTGAGAGTGAAATTCTTCTGGATGATTCTTCCTTTGCTCCCACCCGTCTTCCCACAGACAATACCGCTTTATGCATCCAGGGAGGCGAGGCGCCTCTGCTTCCCTAGGAAGGGGCCACGTGACATGAAGTACGCAAACCAGGCAGCGGAGTAGCTCAGCTTCATTGTCAAAATATTCAAATGATCACTACGAGAAAGCGTTGCCTTTCTGAATTCAACAATACTCCTCGGCCCCCGAGGGCTCACACAGGAGCTTATTCTTGAGCTGTTCAATGGGAGCAGCACTAGTGAAAGTGGAGAACCCTGGCTGGGAGGAAATCAAGTCCCCGGCCTTTCCCACCTGCCATCTCAGCACCGGCCGGACGCTTACATAGTTAGCAATGTCCCGGAGAACCTGACAGCACGCACGGCCCTGGGGGGATCCTGGGCGGCAGAGGACAATTGAACACAGCAGAGGAGAGACAGTTCAGAAAAAGAACACATCTAAGGCTGACGGGGTGCTACTTGCAGACTGCTTTCCAGGTCTGAATTTAGATTTCAAAATCAGAGAAAAAGGTTTTAATATGTCGATTAGATTAAAAAGTGGTCATGGTAAGAACAAAAAATGAACCTCTAACATTCAACATTCCTAAATACAAATGTTTCTGAGCTCCCTAGGGGCAAGAAAAATCACATTTTTCTAGGAATGAGGACTGGCACACAGCAGCCAGATTAGTTCTAGTTAATGGTTTTAAATATACGGGAAAATATTTGGGGGTAAGTGATCTGTTTCTTCATTGATGACAAAAACTACAGCTTCATGAATCTAGAGCATATGACTTCTAGAATGTACTTTTCGGTTGTCACAATATGTTTTTCTAGGCACTTACTGCTGAGAGCAGCTTAAGAACATGTCTTTTCTGTTAATGAACTGGTTTAACCGCCTGCTGAGCATTCACTGAAACCCGAATTGAACAAAGGGATTTCCCTCCAGTTTCAGCTCATTCACTTCTAGCTACTCCTGATTTTGCTTCAGTAAATTCTTCAGATTGACTTTGTTTTTTATTTCTAATGATTTGAGTGGGAAAGAACTGGGAAAGCCCCAAACACTGGGGGTTCTGCCTTGGTTTTCCATGAAACACTCATCTAGGCAGACGACGGACAAGACTTGTTTCTGAAAAGCCTGTCAACTAAGTTTTTTATTTTATTTCCTAAGCCCATAATTCCCAATGGAAAGGAGCCGACCCTATAGAGTAGACTGCAGACAACAAAACCTTATTTCAATGAGGTGGACCACACTGGACAACAAGACTGTGTCTCTGAAGTGAAGACCCTCAGTGGGATATTCGCATTCTCACCACAAAGAGGAACATGCTGCAAAGGGTCACCAGAAATGCGAACAGACCTGGCCCTCTACCTTTTCTCACAGTCCCTGGCGGACCTTGTTCATAACCCAAAGTTTCAACTACTACTGGAGGTCACAGGCCTCCCAAATATCTACCTTCAATTCTAAACTTTCAAATTCCAGACAAATCCATCTACCTACCTCTCACCTCGATGTCCTGCAGTGCGCCCGGAAGGTCACCTGTTCTAGAGCAGGGGCTCCACGCAGGGCTAACTCTAGACTCACGGCTCCTCTTCCAAAATTACAGATTTCAGCCACCGGCGCCAACTATGCAATAACAGCTAACATGTATTGGATGCTCACAGGGTGATGGCCATAGTTTTCATCACTTTACTAAATGCCCTCAACAACCATACGAGTAGGAGGTATTAACCCCATTTTACTTTTGGGAAAACTGAGGCTTAGAAGTTGTACCAAGTTGCCCAGCCAGCAGCTAAGGTAGTGTGATGTGAGTGTCCACGTTACTAATAAGTCAGTCCCTTCACCGTGTCACTTCCCAGCCTCTCCAGGGTAACGTCTGGAGTCACATTAGGTTTTCTCTCTGACTAAGCTGAGCTCTAAGATCTGTGAGCTTCTAGTCTCTCAATCTGTTCCCTTCTCTTTGTGTCCAGGGATGCCACTGTGTGGGCGATGTTTGCCCTGCCTGTCGGCCTTACACCAGCAGGGCAGGACAGCTCTGGAACTTCACCTTGTCCTGCCAACAGTTTTCCTTTCTAGCTCGGTTTTCCTTTCTAGCTCATTTCTAGCTCTAACAGGTAACAGGCTTTGTAAATCTATGTGTGTTAGCCCAGATGATGGCAGAAGCAGTCTGTTTTGAACATCTAAACCCAATGAGGAGATTCTGCCCAATGTCTAGTGGGGAGAAGATGAGGGTGGGAAAGAAGGTAAGAAAAAGACACTTTCCCTCCTTTCTCCTGCCCCGGGCCTGGGGAGGAAGAGGAGCATTTTCAGCTCCACTGGTGTCCCTGAGGCTTCAGGAGACCAGGGCTGTGAAACGCCAAAGGCCAGAGGCAAGTCCCTGGCCTATCAGGTATGGGGAAATCTCCAGGTTCTAGGCCATACCCTAGGAGGGAAGGGAGCACCTAAAAATGACTGCCATGAACTTTCCCTAGCGGTTGGCCAGGTGGGGGCTAGAGTGTGAACTGAGGTCCTTATGGGGAATAAAGGAGGGGATACTTCCTGCATACTTGAAGTTGGGGAGCCAGACACAGAGACTCCCCGGTGCCTCAACCAGGTGCTAAGACTTAGGCTAGTGCACATCTGTGCTCTGGACTCGCTGCCCATAACCGGAGCCAGACTTCTTTGCAAAGAAGGCCTCCGCCCTGTTGCAGAGAGAAGCTTGGACTGGCCAGGGCTTTAGAAACCCCAGGGGGCAGATAGAGAAGGAAGGAAAGAAGCAGATGTTAAGACTCTACTCACAGGATTAACTCCTCTGACTCCTATGCAAATACCTAGGAAGGGAGAGGCAAAGAAAGTTATCATTAAGGCCTTTATCTTAAACTCCAAATTGCTTAAAAACCAAAGAAACTAACAACTGGGAAGTCAACCAGGGAGAGGAGAGGCCAGTGTGCCATGCTGAGGCACAGGACAGCCAGCTCTCCAAGCTTGCTGGTGTCCCCAGCCCCGCATGCTGGGACGGGGACTGGGGCCGTGGGCTTTCAGAAGGTAGAAATGACAGTGTGCTGGGAATGAGGTAGCTTTGGGAGAGGCGATTCCCACCCCAAGAGAAAGGATATGAATCCTTAATGTGACACATTTGTTGATCCACAGATGTGGCAGTAACTGTAGGTACTCGTGGCACCAAATGAAATGTCTAAGGGGGTCCAGACTTTGAGGTCAGTCATGTCCTCAAAGCAAAGCCCTTTGAGTTTATGGCTAAGTGAGCCCTTCGGATGAGGCTTACGAGGGCCCCACTGAAAACTGGAGAGGACTCATGACATGGCAGCCACTGTTCAGAGACCAGGACTTTTAGAACAGAGCTTGGGCAGGAAGAAGAACTTCAATGTACAAGAGTCAGTAACCAGGGAACCCCATCTTCCTGCCACACAGGCACACACTAAGTCTGCCCGGCATGTGGGGTGCACGTCCAGGGGGGAGTCGGACCTGGGAGAGGAGGACCTGCCTGGGAACCACATGCCCCGGTGTGGATGCAAAGTGTGCCAAGACGGTGTCCCCTCCGCTTTGGTTTTTAGAAAGCTGAGTAGTTTGTATTAAATCGTACCCAAGAAGAGAACTTGCAAGCAGGGGATGTGGAAGCGAGGGTGCGTTAAGCAAGCAGGGAACATTAGCAGGCAGATGTTAGGAAAATGGCAGCAACCGGAGCGTGGGCCACTCTGGCCTCACAGGGGTCTGGCCTCTGTTGACACTTGCCTCCCTTCTCACATCAGACACATGGGTCCCAGGAGGGAAGGGGGAGGAGGAGGCAGTTAATGAACACTCACGTGGCCCATCCCCAAACCCTACTGCCTAACATGGGAACCACTACTTTCCAATCTGTGGTACCCCAAAACTAGATGGGGGTGAGGGTGAGGGATGGTGGGAAGGTACGCCCACTCTATTGGCCAAAACTCAATTTTCATGGGGTTTCCTTTAAACCTACTACCAGCCTAGTGAGTAAAGAGCTCGGAGTCAAGTTAGGTCAGTGCAAAGAGACTGAGATCCCTACTGGCTGCCCGGTCTCTGTTTTTGGAT